TGATCTACACGAGTGTATCTATTCACTTGTATATACAGATGTCGACCGAAACTGCCAATAAGCTGCGCAGTGCCATAGCCAAGGAAAACAGTTTGACCAAAGAAACGGAGTATCTCAAGAAGGAACTCGTAGGCGCCAGGCGCAGTCAGAAGGATGTCCTCAGACAAAACGGTGAGGGCTATGTTCTATGCTCAAGCCCAACCAGGATTGGTACAATTTCTTATCTGTATCCATAGGCTTGGATGCTTTGTCCAAGTCTCAATCAGGGTTGGTCCCTTTCGTTAATAGAAACCATATTTATTCTTGTTAAGCTTCAAGATAGGTTGGTTCAATTATTTAAACGAAGTTATATGCATGAATACTGTATGTTCAAGGTTAATCAGAGCTGGGTGAAGTACTCAATATAATTCATATGCTTGGTTTCTATGCTCAATTTGCAATCAGGTTGGTCCCATTACTCTAAAGGATCGTATGAATCGTATGCCTATTCGATCGCTCTGAGGCATTTTCGCAATAGCTGGTTAGCACGCTTAGACTTTGGAATCGTATTCTCACTTTTTCTTCTTCTGATTTTGTTCATTTTACAATGGGATGTTAGATATGAATTCCGACATATTTTTTTGTCTGTCTGGCATGAATTTTGATCTTTTCTTACTAAATTTGAAACTGTTCATAGCTTCAGATATTTTTTTTGGGTACTTATTTATGGGTTGCTATCTAAATTTGGAACAGTGACGTTGTTGAAGGAAATCGATCGGCTGAGAGGCCGACCATCGTACAACATGCAGGTGCCTGATGTCAACGACACTTCCGCGCAAACTGTATGTAATGCCCTGGCACAGTTTTTATCTGATATAGTAAACTGAGTGTATTATCCTGATAGTGTAAACCGTATGTTGTAGCCATAAATGGCTAAAGCGGATATTCTGCTGATGTGGTTAATTATGTGTTATTTCATGATGTGATTGATTGTGTGTATTATCTTTATACGGATAATTGTATAGTATACTTCTATCGTAAACTGTATGCTATAGCCTTATATGGATGGTTGTGTATACTATCATAATATGCTTGTGTGTATGCGATCACGTTATCATGGCCTAGTGACACCACAGTCTACCCTGAAACAACTGCAACAAAGTGCTACGGTGTACTACTTAGTGGGTTGTACCTAAGGCTCTTCAGGCAATCAATCTGATCCCAATGCAATCGGCTGACCATACATTGTAAAAAGGTACATAGTAACATTGATTCATGTACACACTATCGTATCAGATGATCACAACCGAATTGGTGGATGTGCGGAACTACGAGGATGTGGTTGCAATCAATGCCAAGCAGACCATCGCACTCAGGTAAGGGGAGGGGGTGTGTGAGAACATGGGGTACTATGATAGGGGGTGTATTGTCGTATAGTGTACTGCGGTGGTGAATTATATTATCTTCTGGTATAGTATAAGTTGACTATGACTAGCTTTGACTGGGTGTGTTGTTTGATTAGTACTGATATATAGTATATGGATGTGTGACATGATGCGCGGTGACGTTCATTTCTTCAAATATCGTATTGTATTGTGTATACATATTTCAATTCATACTAAATAAACGTATTAATATGCTTAACAACTCAGGGCTGTTACTGAGGATAATGAAAGACTGAACGAACTCAACGAAACTCTGGGCGGAAGCTTAGACAGCAACGACCAATCCTTAGTTACTAAGCAAGCGTTGGCGAAGCAGAACCAGGTTCACGAAGCGCAACTGCAAGAGGTAGCTAAATATGTGCAATTTATTAGTATATGCACACACACACACTCACACAAAACACACACATG